ATCGGGGTTAACCTCAATACCCCTTTGTGACACCAGGAATCCCAGGAACTTGCCGGAGCTGACCCCGAACGCATACTTCTCGGGGTTAAGCTTCATGTTATGCTTCATTAGGATGTCAAAAGTTTCTTGCAAGTGTTTAAGATGATCACCTGCGTTCAAAGACTTAACAAGCATGTTGTTTATATAAACTTTTATGGTTTTACCTATTTATTTTTCAAATATTTTATTTACGAGCCGCTGATAAGTGGATCCAGCGTTCTTTAGCTCGAAGGGCATCACATTATAGCAATATGTGCGAAATTCATTATGAACGAAGTCTTTTCCTGATCCTCTGGGTTCATCTTGATTTGGTTGTACCCGGAGTAGGCATCGAGGAAACTCATTAACTCATGTCTGGTCGTTGCATCAATCATTTGATCAATTTTCGGCAATAGGAATGAGACTTTTGGGAATGCCTTATTTAAGTCCTTATAGTCTACGCACATTCGAAATTTATTATTCTTCTTTGGAACTACTACTACGTTAGCTAGCCACTCTGGATACATTAACTCTCGGATTGAACCGATATCAAGTAGGCGCATTACCTCTTCTTTGACAAATTTGTTTCTGGCCTCGTCAATAGGACATTTTTTTCTATCTTACCGGTGGAATGTTGGGTCCAAGCTCAGTTTGTGTACGACCACTTCCAGCGGGATACATGTCATATTCGCATGCGACCATGCAAAATAATCGACATTAAATTTAAGAAATTTAATAAATCCAGACCTTAGTTCGGGGTGCAGTCTTGTCCCCAATTGGAATTTCCTTTCCAAGAACTTCTCAAATAATGCGACTTGCTCAAGATCTTCCGTTGTGGATTTTGTTGCGTCCGTCTCTTCTGGTACCTGGAAATACCTTGGCACCTGATAAGATTCTGGCGCCTCTTCCCTCTGGTTGACTTCACTTGACAGGGGAGCGGGTGTCGATTCCTGTAATTGCTATGCTGCATGCTCTTTCTTTTTTGCTACTGGAGACCGAAATTGCATTCATCTCCCTTTCCGCCGGTTGGTCACCTCTTATTTGTTTAATTCCCTCGAGAGTTGGGAATTTCAGCAACTGGTGACATGTCGATGGCATAACCTTCATCTCGTGTAACCATGGTCTTACCAGGATAATATTGTAGCCGATATCACCATCCACCACCTCGAAAAGGGTCGTCTGCATCACCCCTTCGGCATTCGTGGGCAGCAGGATCTCTCCTCGGGTTGTCACACTTGCTAGGTTGAACCCGACGAGGAGTTTTGTGGCCGAAAATGATGCTTCCGGTGAGCTTGGCTTGATCCAATACCCTCCATTATATAATATTGGCCGAACTCCTTGGATCCACCAGAACAATTTTGATTTTAAAATCTAATATATTTAAAGAGATTACCAATGTTTCATTGTGCGGTAGCAACAATCCATCTGCGTCCTCCTCCGTGAAAGTGATGTCCTTCGGCCCGTTCATAGGGCAAAAACTGGCTCCTCGAAGACCGTCGATCTGTGTCAAAATTGTCTTTTGATTTCTCTTTATTCTTCTCCCGGTCCCGACCCTTAACTGATGCCGAGAAACCGAGCTGATTCAAACCCTTTCAATTTTCAGGAAGTATCGTAGCTTCTCGGATTCAAACCCTTGGTGAATGCTTCAACCGCCCATTCATATGGAATGGGCGGTAGCAACATCCTTTCCTTCTGGAATTGGGTTACAAACTCCAGCAGCAACTCGGACTCTCCTTGTGCAATCCTGAATATATCGGCCTTTCGGGCCTGTAGCTTTCTGGCCCTTGTATGGGTCTTAATGAAGGAATCCGCGAGCATTTTGAAGGAGTCTATGGAATGCTCGGGTAAAGGCGAATACCACGTCAAGGCTCCCTTCGTGAGAGTCTCTCCGGATTTCTTCATCAAAACTGACTCGATCTCATGGGGAGCTAAGTCGTTCCCCTTCACCGCCGTTGTATAGGTGGTGATATGCTCCCGAGGATCTGAAGTTCCATCATATTTCGGTACGTCTGGAATTTTAAACCGCTCCGAGATCAATTTTGGTGCCGCGCTTGGTTTGTACGGCAATTGAGTGTACTTCTTTGAGTTCAACCCTTTCAGCACTGGTGGTGCGCCTGGAATTTGGTCTATGCTGACGTTTACTTCCTCATAGACCGTATGAATTCGTTTTTGAAGGGATTACTCTCGTTGTTGTGACTGGATCAGCCCCCCAGGCCCCATCGAAGCCGACCTTGCCCCACAGGGTGTTTTTTTCGACCCTCTGCGTTGTTTGATTTGCGGGAGCACCGGGAGAAACTGGACCTCATCAATTTGCGTTATTGGAAGCACCCGATAACGCCTGCTTCAGCTCTGTCATAACCTTATCCTGCTCTGTGAGATGGTCTAAAATGGCCTCTTGTTGCTCATGCAAGACCCTTACCGCTTCGTCGACGTGCTCTTCTTCAGCATCATCAAGAGTCGCATCTCGAACATGTCGCGGGTACCGCCTGCCGTGGACCGGTGTGGCCTCGTTCCCCTCACTGCGGGTATCACTTATTGAATCCTCGCGCTGAGGTTGATTTCCTTAGGCCTCAAGGTTGTGTGTGTTATTAACACCATTATCTGCCATTTTCTATGATTTTTTTGCTAAGAACAAATAATCAAACACATTAGTAAAAGAGGAAAGGACTAACTTAATTACACAGCTGTCTAAGCCCTACGGTGGAAGCTAAAATATTTATCCGTAAAATGGTACATTTGAATTTATACGTGGTTTATAGACAAGTGAATTAATTTAATCCTAAAATAATAGATGAATTAGACAAAAAATATAATACTTAGCCTTGAGATGAAGATAAAACAACAGAAAATGTAATTTCGGGAGCAGGGCTTCCGGGGACAATAACAACGATATCAACGAACAAGAAGATAAAATTATATTGAGCTTTGAAAAAAGTGTAGCGTTGTTTGTCAGAAAATTTGTGTCCTTTACAATGATAATTGAGCTCACTATTTTATAGTTGCACTTACGGAACAAGGTCCTAGGATCAAGCCCCTCTTTAATGTCAATGAGGGCCATTGAAGAATGTGTAACGGCAGACAATGAATGCCATATCCCTTGTAACGGACCGTGTACTTAATGTTATAGAATATTCCTCATTAAATACTATCCGGGTGACAAACATTTATTTCATCTTTATGAGTATCATTCTCTCTGGTAACATATAGGACCGTTGCCTTAGGATTCAACTATCTTTTGTTTTCGGCTCCACGTGTCACTTCCTCATGCGATCGTTTAATATAAACATATTTTACCCTATACATGCACAAAGTTTAAGAAAGAAATAAAGACTTTTAGAATTTGTGATAAAAAACAAACCATAGATATATGTGTGACTGTAATTGTAAACCAATTTATTAAGGGTAAAGTAGGAATTCTAAAAATATTTTATTTCTAAATAAGAAAAGATGACATTCTTTTTTGGATTGATTAAAAAGGAAAAAGTGCCGGATAAATTAAGAGAGAAAGAGTATCATTTTGAAGCTAGTGCTGTAAGTTGTATATTGATTCTAATAACAGTCATGTATTAAGAGCTAAATTGGCCAAAGGTATTAGTCATAATTATTATGGAGAGCTTACATGGCCCTAATGATCTTTTTATATATTCTTTCAGTAGTAATTGTAGATAGGGGTGTACAAAAAAAATCGATAAATCGCACCAAAAACAATAATTCGAGTCAAACCGAAAAAAAACCTTATCATGGTTTGGTTTGGTATTGAAAAAATATCCGACCATAATTGGTTTGATTTGGTTTTAACTAAAAAAAGTCAAACCGAAACCAAACCAACCCGATAGTACATTTATACAATTTTTATAAATATTTTATACATATAAATATTTATTGTAATGTAATTTTTTTATATATATTTTAAATTTTTTCACAGTATTATCTTTTAACATATTATTTCAAGTTTGGGCTTAACATTCTTGAATGATAATTTTTTTTATTGCCCATAAATGTAGTAATTCAAACAAAGTTTAAATCAATACTAATGCTAACAAAAGAAATTCAATTCAACATTAGGAATGATGATAGTATTGGATATCTATTTTTTAGTTTTACATTGATTTATAATGGAAATGTATAACTTAGTTTATCTTTTTCTTTAGTGCTTAGTTATTATGTAATTAATAGTACTTATTAGTTATACTTATTTTAGCATGACCTATATAGTATTTTTAGATTATGTTAATTTTTATTATGGCTTATTAATTAGCAATTTTTGCGTTATGCAATTTTATTATTTTTGTTATTGAATATTTTAGTATAATGCTATGAGTTATCTCATATTATTGTGTTATTTTCTTGGAAAATACATTATATAATTGTATCTTACTAGGACTAAAGAAATATTTGGAGCACATGTTACATATTTTGTGGTATGAAGACTTTACCGGAAAAAAGTTTGAAAACCGAAAAAATTGAAAAACCCGAGCGAAACCCAACTTTGTTGGTTTGGTTTATAGATTTAAAAATCCGACACCATTGATTTAGTTTGGTAATTAAAAATTACGAACCAAACCGGCCTATGTACACTCCTAATTGTAGATACTATTGCGTGTAACGTAGGCTTTATTTAGAACAATCAATGATTGGTGCACATCCATTTGCAATTTTTTGAAATATTACTTGAATGGTTTTTTTTTTTTTTTTTTTTTTTTTTTTTTTTTTTTTTTATGTATTTCAAATACTTCGTATTCAATAAATTATTAAGGGTTCTTTTAATGATTTCAGTAGCTATGAGATTATTAATGGTACATATTTCAGAAAATATTAATAAAATTCAAAATTAATGTCGCTGCGTTTTGGCTTTTGCTGCTTAGGGGTATTTCTGGAGCTAATGCGTTTTGGCTTTGCTGCTTAGGGGTATTTCTGGAGCTAATGCTAAACTAGTTGGAGATGCGGGGTGCATATCTTCTGGTGCACCAATGTTTCATAGCTGAAGGACTATTAGAGTTTCAAATTAAAGTGCAGGGACTATTTTTATACAAATCCCAAGCATAAGGGACTAAATTGGACTTTTACTCTTAATTGTATCGAGCAGAGAGTATCATCTTCATACAATACAATCTCCCTGTTCGCTTCCCCCTTTTTGCCATCTTACAGAGGTTCCGCTGTTTCATGACCAAAACCTCTACTGATTTTTTCTGTTCGATCTCCATTTCTTCGCTCTCTGTCTCAATTCACACAAAAATCAATTCCAACTTGTAAGATCTCTGCACCCGGCCGTTCTGGATTTCCCCTTAGTTTGATCTCACTCTGATCTTTAGGGCTCTTCAATTCACGGATCCCTGATTCATTCAATTCTTCCAGAAAGTTCTGTATTCATCACTCAAAATGGTAAGTTTTTTGCTGTTTCAAGCATTCCTGAATCCTTTTCGTGTTATGTAACAACTCGGATCTGATTCAAATCCGATCCGATTCGTTTTGAATTAATTTTTAAACGTATATTTATATATTAAGTTCGCACAAATTTTTACGAAGATTCATGATTCATTTATGGTTTCAGCTTGCTTGAGATCTGGTATTTTGTTATTACTAACTTCACTTGTTGCATTGTGTTTTTCTAATCTGGAATTCGAAATGGGCACAGCCTCTGAGGTTGGAGATTAAGGTAATATACTTTATTCAAATTTGAACACTACTGGTGGTTTTGTATTTGGTAGTGTTTTTTAATTAATGTAACTACATTTTGCTGATTCTGGTTTTTGGATCAGAGAAAACTTGCTCAAAGATCGGAACGGGTAAAGTCCGTGGATCTACATCCTTCGGAGCCATGGTAATTGGACTTCAGTTTCTACGAAAATAGATCATATGTTATATGATGCAATATATGTGTGTGCTTACTATTTTTGGAGTGTTTGATATTGGAATGGCTGGGCCCTGATAGAGCGAAATGGATATAGAGAATTCATTTAGCTGATTTTTTTTATTGGAGTGATATGTTGCTCGGAAAAGAAAAATTATCAAAATTTTGTCTGTTTTTGGAGTGGGAGGCAGAGCAGGGTTGAGCTGAGTATGATGTTAAGTTTATTGATTAAAGCTAGTTGCTTTCTTTGGATAATGGGTGCTATGTCAGTTATTTTATCATTATAATTTTAGTTCTCTGCAGCTCATTTTCTGCCTTCATTCTTGCAGGATATTGACAAGTTTGTATTCAGGGACTGTTTGCATCTGGAACTACCAGACCCAGGTATTCAAAATTGTGTTGTTTTTTCTAATAAACTTGAATTCTCGAAAAATATGTCATATACAGATATTAACAAAAAGTCTGGAGAATTAGAATGGCTGGTCTGATCTGGTGGTAGCTCAATCCACTGATTCAGGCCATACTTAAATGAACAAGTCATGAAACGTGACCGCTGGACTTTTTGCATTGGGTCTGTGTTGATCCTTCGATGCATGAGTGAATGTGTTTGCACAGCAGACTTAGGTTGGAAGGATTTAATGGAAGGATAGAAAGACGATATGCGAACTTATTTATCAAAAAAAGATGATATGCAAACATTTTTTTGATGAGTAATAAATAATTTTATTAATGAAAGAAAAAGCACTAAGTTAGTGCCGAGACATAGTTACAACTTGTGCAAGTTTCCAATTATATCTAACATGGCATCCGCATTCTGTATATAGACTAGGTTGTACCAAAATCTACCAAGGACATTGAGCTAAACTTAAGGTTAAGCGCATTCTCTTGTTGCCTTCAAAAATTCTATGGTTCCTTTCGATCCAAACTGTCTGCCAAATGGCCTGGGGGATAGTATTCTGGATTTTGTGAGTTCTCTTATTCAGTCCATCTCTGTTCTAGCACTTCAGAAGCTCCAAAGTGGAGTGTGGCATGGTCCAACATATCCCCAGTATGACAAAAACATGCACCACAGTTGGCGAATCACCTTGCCGTGCAAAGTAGTTGACTAACATCTTCTGGATGTTCATCGCACAGAGGATGCCTGTTGCACAACTGAAACCCTCTTCTCTCACGTTTAGTTTGTTGCACGACTGAAACCCTCTTCTCTCAGGATTAGTTTGTTGGTGAGAGGTAGCAGGTATCCCTTAGAATTAGTGGAGGTGCGTGCAAGTTGGCCCGGACATTACGGTTATAAAAAAGGCAGAATAGCCCAGTGTTATCAAAGGTGAATAGTGCAAAAAAGTCTATTGGGGCTTTAAGCCCAAAGCGCAAATAAAGCGTGTGCTTTAATGAAGAAAGGGCAAATGAGAAAAACTATAAATATGTACGTGTAGTCCAAGACTAATATCTATAAGCATGAATACCAAATATATGGACAAAGAAATTGAAGGAAATTTATATTAAAGTGAAATATCAATTGTTTAGTATCGCCGCTTCAGGATTACGCTCATTGGCAAGGAAAAGTATGCCTTAGAGCCTTGATGACAACACTGAAGTGCTCGCTAAGCGAGGCGAAGCGTTCAACATGTTTTGAGCCTGGCTTCAGGGCTTTAGTGCGCCTTTGATAACACTGGAATAACATAATTGACACTCTAATTGTTACGTTTTGACATGCTGCTCCTCCTACTCCACGGGGTTTCATCTAAGCACCTGGACCTTTTCAAAACTTGCATTTTAGCCCCCTCCGACCACGCGTTTCTCTCAATCACGCTGATATCAATGTCCACGTCAGATAAAAACATGCAACATCATTTTTATTTAAGAGACTATTTATTTTTCTTAAAAAAAGTCTCAAAACCCAATTAAGGACCACCCCACTCATCGCTTCTTCGTTGTTTTCTGATTTTATCATTAGATTTGAAATGGCCGGAGATAAATTCTTGTTAAAATCAGAATCATGGTTCTTGCTTGACTAACGATGTTTTTGAGCCTGAATTCGAAACCCAATTAATGACCATCCGTCACCCACCCCCCCATCTCCTCCATTTTCACCCGTGAAGTCACCACCTGTCCGCCACATATCTCCTCTATGTCCACCAGTAAAATCCTTCTCCACTGCTCTGCCACCCATCTCTCTCATCTCCAACACTACTTCTCAAAAAGTTCCAAATCCATTTTCTCTTCCTTAATCTCTTTCTCTTCCACCCACCACCATCACAGTCCTCCACTCACCACTATCACAGATCCACCTACCTCCATCGATTTCCTCCATGAGTGGTTTCGTAACCACTTTATTTTTCTCAAACCACTATATGGTGAATCTGGTATAAAAACTCAGTAAGTAGACAAAGAATCAAAAGCTAAACTTTTATACTAGCTTTTCTTGAATCAAAAATTGGTTATGGACTTATGGTGGAGTTGAATTAATTTGAATCTGGTTACGACGGTTTGAATAAAAAATGGGGAGAGGGAAGGAGGGCTTCGGGAAAGGGGAGGAGAGGGAAAGAAAAATAAATAGGGAAAGAGGAATGGAGAGGGAAAGAACAAAAATCTAAGAAACGGCAACAAAGGCGTATAGAGATATATAATGGGGGTAAGGGGAAGAAGAAGAATGGGAGAGGGGAAGGAGTCTGGGAAGGTGGGAGGAATCTTGTTATATATAAACCTTTAATATATATTTTTTATTAAAAAAAGCCTTTGATTTATATTTTTTATTCTCTTCTTTTTTTAGTTTCATTTAAAATATTTTTAATCAAAATTGGTACATCGCTCTTAAGAGCGTGTAAGCACGCACTTTATCTCACTAAGCAAACACATGCCTTATAAGCTTGGTCGAGACTTAGAGTGGTTTAAAATATAAGTTTTGAGCAGATTCAGGTGGTTGAATGAGACCTCGTGGAGTAGGAGGGGCGGCATGTCAATTAGGCTATTATGCCCAAAAGAGAAAAACAAGAAACCTTTAAAGAGGCATTGCTGTGCTAAATCTTCTTCCATGCCCAGCAATCTGTGTTAGCTTTTGAGAACACCATCTTGTAACAAGGTTTGACAGAGAATAGGCCATCTGATTGGCTTCCCAATTTAATGTGGAATCATACTGATGTTGGTTCAGAACATGTTGTTTTGAATTTGCAACAAGTCGCATGTTCTTTGAACTTCCCAATCATTAATGTTTCTTCTAAAAAAGATCCCATCCTTGAGTAGTGTTAGTGGTGGCAAAATGGATTAAAAAAAATAGTTATCCATTCATATTATTCACTAATAAAGGCGTTGGATAATGAATTCTTTAAGAATGGGTCAAATATGGATAAGAATCATATTATCCACTTAGAAAATGGATAACCAATGAATACCTAATGTGTTTAACTTTTACATTTGTAAAGACTCAAATTGGGGTTCCTCAAGCTTGGGAAATTAGGAATTCTCCCAAAAGTGATCATATTCAAAAAGCCATGGATAATATGGTTTATATTATCTGCCGGTTAACCAATTTTCTATCTGTATTAAATATGGGTCGGGTCAAATAATTTACCCGTTTTTACATTACCCGTTTTCGGCCCGCTTATATTCGCCCCGCCCCGCCCGTTTGCCACCCCTAAGTAGTACAAATATCAGCAATCACAACCTTGTATAGAGTAGAAATGATGTAATATCATGGAACTGTTCTTTTAAGGGTAAGTGCGGTCAAGCATCTTCCCATTTTTTTTAACTAGTCTTAGTGTACGTGCGTTGCACGTGTATTGTACATCTATCAATAAAAATGTACAAAGAAAATAAATTATGTGTAATATAAATTGATGCTGAGATAAATACAACGTTCATTTAAATGGAGAAATAAATATTAATACATTGACATACACAACAATTTGGGTTAGAAAATATAAATATTGATTATGAGATTAGAAAACAAATCCTATGTAATGACTTCATATCGTCCCCCATCACTAAATCATGTCAAAAAGAAAATTACGGAAAAAAACAAAAACAAGCAGAATAAATATATGGATTGGGGTTGAGAGCAAAAAAATTGATCTGAGCACAAACTGAAGTATTTATAAAATTAACCATGATAAAATTAAATAAAAAAAGTTAACTCATAAAAACTCATTTTTCTAAAGATAGCATAAAAAGGAAAGAGGATAAATATTGGCTTTAAAGAATAGTTCAACGAAAAAAGTAAAAACTTCACAAAACCACTGCTTCACCCACCACCTCTTCTTTTTCCCCAATCTCCAACTCTCTTCGATCTGCTACCCTATATACATAACTATTATAATTAAAAAAAAGAACCAATTTACATGACTCAATNAAAATTTACATGACCTACTGAACAAAAGAACTCCACATTTAAACCATAAGGATTCACAAAAAATTCAAACAAAAAGATATATCACAATATCATATTTATAACGATCTTAAGAATATACATAAAAAAAATGGACCATTTTCTTGAATATAGATAAATCATCTGTGAAATGAATCAAAAATACTGAAATTGCAAGAAAGATATTCGTAGAAAGAAAAATAATAGTGAATTTCTATTATGAATTGCAATGGTTCAACCAACCTGTATAAAAATTATAAATTAAGTCACAGATAAAAGCCTCTCGAGTCCAAAACATGAAAATAAATCAATGCATAATTCAAATATAGATAAGAGGAAGATCTCTTAAAAATATAATAGAGAACTTGTACGATGTAAAAATAAAAGCAAGCATTAGTCGCTTGTTTCACCATTAAATAACGGTTATTATTTTTCAATTTAATCGGCTCGCGCTTTACAATCCATGATATGAAGTACTATTTACTGATTTAAAAAAATGGTTAAATCAACAATTGATGTAAACTATTCAGAAGTCCCTATATTATCATTGCTTTCATATATGTGCTTCTTCCTTATTTTCTTTATTCCATCGCTTCCTCTCTCTCACCCTTAAAATAAAAACACAATCAAAAGAAAAGGAAAAAGAATCAAAAGTTATGCCAAACTATACAAGAATTGCATAGAAATTATGGTTTGCATAGCTGACTTCAGGCATTGAACCTTATAAAATGAATAAAAGGAGAAAATCAATAGTAAGTAAAATCAATAAACCTTCCTCGAGGAACAACTGAGAAAAAAAATCCTTAAGAACATTATCAACCGAACACGTGCAGTACTACATTTTCAGTTGAATCAAGAGCTACCACAACCTGGTGGACATGTTGAATTGTGGTTATGTGCATTTATTCCATTTCTAATAAACTGGAGGCCTAAATCTTCCCTACACCATGTGATAAAAGAAATTAGTTTAATCGATTTCATGTAATAAGCTTGTTATCTGATTAACTCGAGAATCTGAATAAGATAGGGTATATGAAAGTCAATCATACCGAATCAAGCCTTAAGCTTAAATATATGAAAATATAGTTGTCCAATGTAATATACCGAAGTATTTTCATTAAGCTCTTAAAAAGAATCATCAGCCTGAAAACAAAAATAAAAACTACATAAAGAAAAGGTCAACAATATTTTAAATTTTATCACATGTGTCCAAAGGAACACCAAGAGTTTAGTCTACATTGACAAAACAGATAACAAAATTAAAAGGCAGCGAATATAATTATCTCATTGAAATCGAAGGTGAAAGTTATTGTTGGTATTAATACATGAAAACACACTAATCCTATAAAGAAAAAAGGAAATGGAAAAAAGAAGAAACCGCATGATAGATTATAAATTATGAGCACGAGAGTATATAGGTTCATACAGGACATCTACTTGCAAAGTAGAAAATATCATAGATGAGAATGGTAGGCAAGAGATGGTAACCTGAAAGTTGCGATGAATGAAACTGAAGCATCCGAGTACTTGTTTTGGCACTAAATTGTCATCACAAAAGTTGTGTTTATTTAGAACTTTATTTTTGGTTAAGGAACTATACTACTTAAATAAGAAAGAGGAAATTAGGGTCATAGTAACATACCTTCAAGCCAATTCTATTCAACCTAATTTTTTTGAATTTTAGTTCCCTAATGCACAAAAAAGATGATTCTTTTATCATCCACACTATATAGACTCGTACACTACATAATTATTTAAACGAATCATTGATGAATATTTGCAACAAAAATAGAAAGACCGATTCAAGTAAATACGACACAATATATGTTTACTATAGGTAAAAAGATTCAGATTCACACTGAAATACAGAAGTAATCAACAAAAACAAAACAACAACCGCATGAAGAGGAAATTAACATCAACAACCGCACGAAGAAGACGACGTGAAAAAAATGTAACGAAAAGCTCAGACCTCATCGTTAAGCATACAAATAATCAAAACATCTTTTCACAAGTTAGCCGCAGAGGTTTTAAGACTCCTAAGAACAAACAAAAAGACTCTTAAACCTAGAAATCCTGATTTTCCTATGTTATGTATTGTTACTTTTCCTTTATAAATATGGTATATTACATAATTCAAATAAGGAAAAAATAAATATATAAAAGTTTAGTTGATTTTGAAAGTTTAAATATTAGAAAAATAATAAAATGACTACTTTATCCCCTATAAATTTTACTTTTAAGGGTAAAAAAGGCGAACAACATTTCGCTAATGGCTTTCGTGCTTTTAATATAGTATAGATTTGTGATAAATGGTGGTGTCTTGGCCAACTTGTACGCACCTTGACTATTCCACTAGGTATCTGCTATTTCTATCATCACGGGTACCGGTAACTCTACTTACTGAGGCTTAGGCAGATGGAAAAAAACCGCGTAGGTTTTTTTTGTCTCTTTTGGGATTTGGACTTCGATTACCGTTGGGTGCTGATTCTTCTACCATTTCCTATTAGAAAACACAAGTTTGCAACAGAGTTGATCATGTGGTGCACCTGAGATTCTGGTACACCACGGAGCTTCGAGAGCATCTTTTTCAATCGATAGTATCCTCCAAAGTGCAGTTTCCTCCTTGTTGAACCTCCAATGCCATTTCGTCAAGTGAACTTCAATGGTGTTCCAAATTCTTAATTCCGAGACCACCAAACTTTTGGTCGATAGTAACATCTGTCCACTTAGGCAAATAGGATTGGTTTATTTGTTGCCATTCCAAAGACAGTATCTTTTCAATTTATCCATGCGTTTTAAGACAGAGCTAAGAACAGGAAAGAAAGACCTGGTGTAAATGGGGAGAGTGTCGAGAGCACTGTTCATAAGAGTGATTCTATAACTTCCAATTTGACTATTCTCCATTTACTCTAGAACCCCATTCCAAATAGTTGAAGATTTATGTTTTTTCCCCGAGAGGTAAACCCAGATACTTCGTAGGGAGGGAGCCAATATTGCGGTGCAAGATGCTAGCAAGTTTGAGTATTAGGAACATGGTTAACCGGGAAGAGAGAGCTTTTAGAAATGCTACCTTACATCAAGCAATATGTACTTATAGACATGAAAATGATTGTGGGGTTAGCACTGGTCGTTCACTTGGAAAAGCTAAGTTTACTAGTGAACTTGAGTCACTTTGATTTATTCTTTACCTGTGCGTGTCTTTTGGTTCTCTATCAATTACCTTTTCTTCTACATCCTTAGGGATAACATCGTCTAGCTGCAATGGAGTACTTACAAGCTATGTTGCGCGGACTCTCCAAAATGATGCCGCACCCGTGTCGGATCCTCCAAAAATACACTATTTTTGGAGGATCCGGCACGCACCCNTGCCCAGACTCTCCAAAATGATGCCGCACCCGTGTCGGATCCTCCAAAAATACACTATTTTTGGAGGATCCGACACGCACCCGGTAACATTTTCGGAGAGTCCGAGCAACATAGCTTACAAGTCAGATTATTTTCAAGTACCACAACTGTCCCTTAAATTAATCTAAATCTATCTGCAACCAATACTTGCTCTCACAAGATTTCAAAACCTCAAATGAAATATTCACTTCTTTGAATCATCTGAGATGCTACTGGTGCTTATGTGCAAATCTGAACTCTTCGATTAGTTGATATGAAAAAGAAAATTTATCAGCATTTTGTAAATTGATCAAAATATGATTTGATAGCATTATTGATAAGAATGCTGATGGGTAATTCATTTTGATGCAGACAATGGTAAAATCTTTTGAAGTTACTGAATTACCAGGTTCGTTTATGGAATCCAAGTGGTCTCTTTGTCGAATAGGATTTTCCCAAGCAACCTTTAGCTTCATTTAAGGTTTGCAATTTTTTCAAAACACCTCTGTTGTTGTTTTGCAGTTAGGTCAGCTAAGTTTATACCACGCAAGCAATGGGTTGTTGCTGGTGCTGATGACATGTTTATTCGTGTTTACAATTACAACACCATGGATAAAGTCAAAGTATTCGAGGCACACACAGATTATATTAGGTGTGTGGCTGTCCATCCTACACTACCTTATGTACTGTCATCATCTGATGACATGCTAATAAAGCTCTGGGATTGGGAGAAGGGATGGTTATGCACTCAAATATTTGAAGGTCATTCCCATTATGTGATGCAAGTCACCTTTAATCCAAAAGACACCAATACTTTTGCTAGCGCGTCCCTTGATCGGACTATAAAGGTAATCGGATTTGTCCTTCATCTCATTCCATCCCTCCTCAGAGAAATTGATTAACTCATATTCATGTCATTCACCTTGTAACTTTTTCAGATCTGGAACCTTGGCTCTCCTGATCCAAACTTCACTCTGGATGCTCATCTTAAAGGAGTTAATTGTGTAGACTATTTCACTGGGGGTGATAAACCCTATCTAATTACTGGTTCTGATGATCACACTGCTAAGGTTTGCCAGTCTTTATCATTTTCCATGTTCCATTCTTATTATTTACATATAGAACTTGAATTATTTAATGTATTGGTATCCATGAAACAGGTGTGGGACTATCAGACAAAAAGTTGTGTCCAGACTCTTGACGGCCACACACACAATGTCTCAGCTGTATGTTTTCATCCTGATCTTCCAATTATAATTACAGGTTCTGAAGATGGTACTGTTCGTATATGGCACGCAACCACTTATAGGTAATGGTTGGATGCCTAATCATCTAAGCTTAGTTCAAATTTTCTTATGAATGACAAAAGAATGAATTTGCTTATTTTTCTAAGAAATGACTGTTTCTAGTAAGTTGTTCTATACTTATTGGTTCCATTACCTTCGAGAAGACACTAATTGCTCTACATGTGTATGGACATATTTAAGCTATTTCTTTAAGAGGAAAGGCCTCTTCTTTTATTGTTTTGAGTTGTCTAAATCAGTTGAACCAGGTAACTAGAAAGCTATGTGAATTTTCATATTGATTTACAGTTGACGACCTTTATGAAGTTAGTGGTAGGTTGTAATATATCTGTTAAGAGCCGTGCTTTCACCATTTAAGATTTGCTGCTGTTTCCAAGGTGCATGAAGTGTTTATCTGCCATTTCCTTCGTCCAAATTGAATGCCCATCTCCTAACTCCCTTTTCTTTTAACAGAATTATGACCATTTTCCTATAAAGAACTGTTTGCATCGAATTATATAATACAGAAGTTACATGTGACCCTTTTATCAGCTTTTAGCGCAGCCTTTTCTCTCTTTTCAATTCCTTAAAAGTAAAAATCATATACCTTCTAAAAGAAAAAAAGTAGAAATTGTATAGTGTCCCTCATATGCTCCTTCCCGAATCTGATCTTCAAATTGGCATAATAAAATTAATCTGGGATGAACAAACAACAGCCTCAGATGTTATAGAAACTTCTCATTTCTCATCATTTCTTTTGTTACTTTCACCCTCTTATTTTATTTCTACGTTCTCAGTCTATTCATATATTGAGAAGGACTTCGAGTGTAATTGGTCCATGTAGATTATCGGTTCGGGTCAAAATCAAGACTATAATGGTATTTTCATGTCCTTGTTACTGGGAGGAACTTCTTTTTTGGTTTGGAGTTTGGGACTGAGGGATAAATGGATATCCTTCCCAGGGCTTTTGTGTTATACAAACATAATCTATCATATAGTGCTGGATTTACACATCTCTTATACTAAAGCTGGACCTTGGTTTATGAGATACTTTTGAGTAAAATCAGATGGTGCATTGAAAAGATTTTTGAAGTCTCTTTTTTGTTGTACATGCGAGAGCTGAAGTAGGTTTCCCATTTTTCTATATCTACAGGCTGAAGCTGAACATGTCATGGTAAAATGAATCTAGTGTCAAAAAACCTGATGCTACTTTTTCATTTTCAGCTTTTTTTGGGTGTGGGGGTTGAAATTGATTGGTTAACCTTAAAAACATATATATTATATTTCCTCTAAGAAGATGAACTTCTATTTTTCGAGTAAAAGTTTTCTTTTAAAAGCAGGGCATTTCATCTTTTGATGACTTTGTGTTATGGAAATGACGAGTCAATTGGTTTTGTATGAGTTTTCTTGTTGACTCCTCGTTCTCTCTTAACTCTTTGTGCTTGAGTTACACTGGCCAGGAATTTATTCAAGGGTGTTCAAACTTGAAAAAAGTGGATTTGTTTTTTTCAAATAAAGGGTGTTAAGTATATTTATACCTCTAAAACCTAATATTTTACCGGTATACGCAGCGTAATTTTTGGACGAAGGGTGGTCAATCGACCACCCTTTAATACATGTAGCTTCGCCCCTAAGTTACAGTTACTAATCCTTTTGTTTGTTGGCATTTTCATGTAGACTTGAGAACACTTTGAATTATGGTCTTGAAAGAGTATGGGCAATTGGTTACATGAAACACTCAAGGAGGTGAGTTTTCCAATTAATTATAGCTGTATCGTTGTTCTCTTTGGAAGTTGGTGCATTTGCTTGTAACTTCAATTTGCCTTTCAATTAGTTTCCTTCTTGTTCATAGTGAGAAAGTTTTTCTGGACGAGGAAATAGGGAAATGTCAGTGTTAGCCGTGGGCCTAGCAAATTGACAAAATATCTGCAACTACAGAAAAATTGAAGAGAAAAGAAATAGATCATCATATTAATTTTGTTCCTTTGTACCTTGTTTTTTTCAGCTAGTTGTAGTTATCATGATTGTGCTATATGTACAGGGTTGTAATTGGTTATGATGAGGGAACCATCATGGTAAAACTTGGTCGAGAAGTACCTGTTGCCAGTATGGATAACAGTGGAAAAGTTATATGGGCTAAGCACAATGAAGTTCAGACTGTTAACATCAAGAGTATCGGGGCAGATTATGAAGTAGGGCATCACGCTACCTCTACTTTTCCTCACCTGATTGTTCTCACTGCCTCAAAATTGTTATATGAATTCTTTTTCTGCTTTTCCTCTCAGGTCGCTGATGGAGAGAGACTGCCTTTGGCTGTCAAGGAAATGGGAACTTGTGACCTCTACCCACAAGTGAGTTTGATTACTGAATATAAATATTGGTGTAATCTTGTGTAATCCTTTCTATAACAAGTGAATTAGATTGGTTCACATAGTTAATGCCAGTCTTATAGAATTAGTGTTTGAAGTTGCTTACACTGTACTACTCATCCTAGTGAAAGGCTGTTGCTATTATTCCTTTAGTTAAACGAGCAGTCCATATGTTTGAAACCGTACACGCCATTAGAACTTTATATGTGGAATGAGTGATTTATTATTGTTGATGCTGTTCCCAAGAGTTGCTGTTTTTATATTTCCTAGTTTCCTTATTTTGGTAAACTTGAAGAATTCGTTTTGATTTTGTTGTACTGCCATCTTATAGTAGTTTAAAGAGTATGGGTATAATATAGTAGTTGGCATCTGTTTCAATTGGGTTATCATTAGAAGGTTGACTACTGAAGTTAATTTACTGAAGATCTTGCACTTCTTCTTTACAGAGCTTGAAGCATAATCCAAATGGAAGGTTTGTCGTTGTTTGTGGAGATGGAGAATATATCATATATACCGCTCTGGCTTGGAGAAATAGGTCATTTGGCTCAGCTCTGGAATTTGTTTGGTCTTCGGATGGAGAATATGCTGTGAGGGAAAGTACTTCAAAGATTAAGATCTTCAGCAAAAATTTCCAGGTTCAAATTCTTCCTTCCAAATGTCTCCAAAATGTTTGCATATTTTTTGCGCTTTGCGTTAGCTGCTGTTTGATTCGTCTCATGATACATTCTTTCCAACATTGGAATCCAATTTTCCCCCAGCCCCCGGCCCCTCTTCCGTTTCTGCATTTCTGCTTTAAACCCTCAAGTTTTGATGAATTATTTCTGCATTTCTGCTTTAAACCCTCAAGTTTTGATGAATTACTTCTGACTGAGCTTGACAAGTAGGTTAATAGTTCACCTCGTGAATGAGTTAAATAGTTTTTTAAATGCATTTACTTTCTCTTTATCTTGAAGCTGAAGCATGCAGCGAGTTGTAGTTTCTTTCTTTTCACATTCTGACCGAAATTATGATGGATATTCTCCAGGAGAAGAAGAGTATTCGGCCTACTTTCTCTGCTGAGCGCATCTATGGTGGTACTTTATTGGCAATGTGCTCGAATGATTTCATTTGTTTCTATGATTGGGCTGACTGCAGGTTGATACGGCGAATCGATGTTAATGTCAAAGTAAGATATATAAAGCTTTACCTTGATATAGAGTAGGGTGGCGTTTTACTCTTTTATCTGGTAATTATAATTTTTTGCTGAGTTCTTTTGCTTCAACTTCTTCAGAATCTATACTGGGCCGACAGTGGTGATCTGGTGGCAATTGCTAGTGATACATCATTCTACATACTTAAGTACAATGTAAGAGCTCTCTTTCACCAATTTTGAAGTTACTTGTGGTAAAAAAAATCTGTACATTATTGTATTAACAATCCTCCTACTGTTTTGATGATATGCAGCGAGATGTGGTCTCTGCACATTTAGATAGTGGAAGATCAGTAGATGAACAAGGTGTTGAAGAAGCTTTTGAACTTCTTAACGAGATAAATGAACGGGTCCGGACTGGAATTTGGGTTGGGGATTGCTTCATTTACAATAATTCTTCCTGGAGACTTAACTATTGTGTTGGGGGTGAGGTATGATAGATCCTTTATACTGCTTCTCTGGGCACTTTTATCTGCAAAACATATGTTCTCATACTGGGTGAGTTGATGAATTTTTTTGTTAAATTTAGGTGACCACAATGTTTCACCTTGACCGGCCCATGTACCTGCTCGGATACCTAGCTAATCAGAGCAGAGTTTTTCTGATTGACAAGGAGTTTAAGTGAGTAAGCTTGTGTGATCTTTTAATAAAGGAAGCCAGGACTTGTTTCAATAGATACATGAACCCATCTTCTTTCCTGTAGTGTGGTGGGATATACTCTACTCCTTGGCTTGATTGAGTACAAGACACTTGTGATGCGTGGCGACTGGGATAGAGCAAATGAGGTCTTACCATCAATTCCTAAGGAGCATCACAACAGGTATATTGCTTGTTTAACTCTTTATGATGGGCTTTTCTAGGGAACATTACAAATAAATTGTGCGCAGGATTACAATTTTTTTTAAAAAAACTTTTAAACATGGTTGCGATAAACTTGGTCTTTAAAATTGCAGATGCAAACGTTGTAATTTTATGTTGTAAAATGTATATATCTGTTGCTGTACTGGCTCCAATTAAGTTGTGTGGAATGCAGCTGGTTTGTAGGTCTTGATTTTTGCTTATGTTCGTAGGCATTGTTATCTCTAGTCAATATAGTTATTTACTAATATAGACAATAACCTTTTATTTATTTAATAATTCATTTATACCTGCCCACTCCATCTGAAATTTTTTTACCTAGCAGTTCTCCATGTGTATATCAGGTAGTCTGCCCTT